CCAGCTGCACTGACTGCCCCCAGCCCCAAGACCATGCTGTCTCCAGCCCTACACCAAAAGGTCTGAGGAGGAAGAGTCATCGTTCCCAGCTGGTGAACACTGTCTTTTCAAAGGAATAGTCCTGTGACACTGAGAGATTAACAACAACATATAGGATCATGAGCTTTCGTGGGTAAAACCCACTTCTTCAGATGAGTTGGAGTGGAAATAGCAGATAGAGATATAGATTTAGATATAAATACAGAAAAAACAGCAGAAGTAGTAGTTGTAGGACCCATGTTAATGATTAAGTGGGCTGGGCGTGTCCCATACATAGCTTTTGATGTGAACATGCAAATGTTAAAGGCAGGAGAAACTGGCTTTGTAGTGCGCCAACCAGTTAATGTCTTTATTCAAGCTCAGGGTAACTGACAGGACTACTCAGTTTTAAAGCTGCAAACTAACACAGCTACCCCTCTGAGACGGTCTTTTCAGCTGCTTTATGCAGCCGGAGCAGTTCAGAACAACTTGAATAGGGCCGAGGGGCTGGCCCTATACTGTACCACTCCAGTCTGGCTCCGACCAGAGAATTCTGACCACGTTTCCTAAGCGGCTCTGGGGGAGCAGTCGGCAGAGTTTCACTGCCTCCTCCTCTTGGGTTTAGCAGGCATTCAGATCAGCAGCCTAGGGAGCTCTGTCGGACAAGGCCATGTCCTCTCTGTTGCTCAGCATTCACCAACCCAGTGGGTGACGTAGTCGGCTTTGCACGGCTGATGCAACACACTTACGGAGCAGCCGAGGAAATGTCAAAGTGCGACAGACTGCGACATGCTTTCCTTGAACATCATGTGCTGTGCTTTGACTCCACACTCATTTCAATAGGGAAGATTGCTGGCAACTGACCCTCTTTTGCTTTCGAGACAGGCAAGCCAGGGGAGAAACAACTTTCAGCAAGTGGGGTGGGCAGGATGCAGCAGAGAGGGCGGGTGTGTCTACACTACAGCAACACGGGAGCAGCCCTAGACGAGCTGCCAGCAACTGGTGCCCTAGGTGAAACACGAGATCGGCGCCCCTGCCTCCAAAGCCCTCAGCGGCCGTTTATCTTGGCGCCCTAGGCGACCCGACTAGTTTGCCTGTATTGACGGCCACCACTGCTGCAATACAACTACCCCTCTGTAGCAGAGGTGTTTGGGCAGAAGGGTGTTTTTCCATCAATCCACCTCCAAGAGGGGGTAGTTCGTCTACTGGGAGATTTTGTTCTATGCAGCCCAGGCTGTAAGACAGTCCGTATTCAGCTCCATAGTCTTACCAGCTGCTAGTTTTCTGCCCCCGCTTTTCCTGCCCTTGCTTGGCACCCCTGGGCCCTGCAATTTCAGACAGTCCCCAAAAGAGACAGCTCCTGCACTGCCCCTGCACTTCACACCGCAAGGGCCCCTGTTCTGACACAGGGTCTCTCTCCCCAAACGTGATCAATCCCCTTCCCAGGGCAGTACCCCCATTTTAAAGCCACACGGCCTCCGCTTCCCCCCACGGCAGGCAGGGACCCGGCGCTGCTTTCCCAGCTGTGCAGGGGAGCCCTGGACAGACAAGCGGTGGGGAGGGGGCTGGTCCTGCAGCTGCCCCGGCCCCCCCAGGCTCCAACCCAGCCCAGCCCTGGCCGGCTGCCCCGCACAGGAGAGTGTTAAATCAGCTTCAACCGATTACAAAAAAGCCACATTGGGCTCTTGTGGAATGCAAAAGGAGTTGGTAAAATCCAGGCGGGGCTGTACAGAAGTGTAATCACAGCTCAACATCACTTCTCTGAAGCAATTGTCTTGCTCTCCACAATATCAGGTTTCATTAAAAAAAACAACAAAACAGCCTCTAGCTGTCCTGGTTGTGAAGAAGGCCTCAAACATGAACTAACTGTAAGCGATGCAGAACTGTGTCAGCAAAGTGCTTACAACAGCTACATGAACTGCCCTACTCCTCCCTGGAAGGGATTATGAATCAGATACTCAGCAATGATCATTTAAATGGCACTATTGTTCATCGTTTCATCCAGAGGTCAAAGTAAGTGGGTGCATCCTGGTGGGCAGCTCCGGCAAGAGCTGGCTGAGGGGCAGCCAGAGCCAGCAGGGAGCTATCGGGACAGCGGGCAGGGCCCCAGGTTGCAATAGGACAGAAACTGGAAGTTACTTTCATGGCTGCATTTGTGCAAGAGTCCCTGCCCCCCTAGGCAGATGCTGCTTCTCTTGGAAGCACCTCACTAGCTAGCAGCTGACCTGTGTCCTTTTGTTTTTCTCCCCCTCTTGCTCACCAGGTGACTTCCCAGCCTGAGGCATGGAGACCATGCAGGAGTTGATTCCCTTTGCCAAAGAAATGCTCCGCCAGAAGCCCACCAGCAAGATGGTCAAGATCTACATGCTGGGCAGCGTGCTGGCCTTCTTCGGGGTGGTCATTAGCCTGGTGGAGACGGTCTGCAGCCCTTTCGCTTCGGAGGAGCAGCTACAAGAGGAGGAGGAGAAACCTCCCCAGACAAAAGAGCCCCCAGAAACCAGCCCCCAGAAACATGGCGACGTGACTGTGGGGAAAAGCAAAGCGAAGGGTGCAATGCAGAGGGACTCCGTCATCAGCCCGTGGGCTTCATGAGACAATCCAGCCACATGAGGTGCACAAGACACCTGTGGCCTGCTGGCTTTCCAGAGGCAGACTCCAGGAAAGCAACCCCAGGGACGCTCGAGAAGCGATTCTTTTATTTGCTGCCATGCAGCAGTGGGAAAAGGCCGCCTGTTGGCCATGGACCCTTTGGTCGGTATCAAAAGGTGTGAGGTGCATGGCACTTTGCATCCACCGGGGTTTTATTAGGAGTAAACTTCAGCTATATTTTGCATTCTAAATAAATATTTTATATACGTTACCATGCCTCTTTGTTTTGTAAATCTCCCAAGGGAGATGGAGTCTTAATTCAGTTACCCCTGCTGAAACAAATTCGTTGTAGGAGCAGCTTAACTGTTGTTGCCTTCCACTGAATACAAACACACACTGCAGTGTGACACCTGTGGTGGTTTGTTTTTCTGCTCCCTGGCTTTTGTTTGCTAAGACCTGCAGGTTTGGGGCTCCTACCTCTACCCCAAAAAACAATATACTGACTTCTTAATGCAAAACAGATACTGCTCACATCTCTAGATCTACAATTGTACCTTGAGATCGATTTTGGGGGGGAGGGGGCGGGTTAAGGAGGGAGGCAGAGGGTGTGTAGCCACATGTTGATCCCTGTGAGATGGGTGTAAATGTATCTCTGGTCTACTCTTTTTCTCAATAATAAAAAGAGCCTGATTCCCACCTCCATTTAATTGTGATGGTGCCTCGCTCAGGGACCTTGCTGTACATTGCTTACATAGCTCTCATAAGTACCCCATGGTACAGAGATGGTAACTGAGACACAGAGCAGTAAAGTGATTTGCCCACGGTTACCCACCAGGCCAGTAGCAGAGTTGTGGACAGACTCCATGAGGCCTAATCTAGTGCTCTACCCACTCAGACACACTGCTCCCAATTTCTCGCCTGGAAGGCAGCACATCTTTGACCCCACACATTTTAATTAACAAGCTGCTACGTTACCACAGTCCTTTTAAAAAATATGATGGGTGTCCAAATGCTGCATAGAATACAAAGCTAGCCAACTCTCCCAGTCAGAAGTCATTGGGCCATCCAAATATGGAAGGGGCATGCCGTTTGAACTGCTGGTTTCTACTTGATAGACGCTGCAATAGTATGCCCAATCCCATACGTGAAGCAGGGTAAACATTTCTCACCCTACAGCCCTGCTGGCTACATGCTGGAGATAGGCAGGTTGTTTGCATGTTTTCCTTATGCTATGTCTAGATAAGACAGAGATAAAAGGGGGTAAGAAAGCAGGAAGTAACATGCTCTCACTAGAAAGACCATGTATAATTTTCTAAGTGCTAAATTTATTTTAAAAACATCCATCAACTTCTACCTTTCATCTGCGTAACCAGCACCTGCTGTCAAAAAGGGCCTACCATCGGGGGAGAACGTCCCTAGGGCTGCAAAAACTTCACATTCTGAATTAAACACCAGGGTGCACCTACATTGTCCGTCTGGGGGAAAAAAAACTGGGGGAAAAGTCAACCTAAAATAGCACTTGAGAAATACGGTGTTATGTGTCAATCAAGCATTCCTCAGGCTTCTAGTTTCCCAGACAAGACAGACCGGCCAGTGCCTCATTCACGTCTCTGGGTGTTGCATGTGCAAAGGGGAAGGCACAATTTAGCTTGAAGCTGAATTTAGCTGAACCATGTCCCAGAATAATGCCAGATCAAGGACCCTGATTGTTTTGCAGCATATATGGATCCTTATGAGACAGAAGGCTTATTGCCGTGGAAAGGAAAACTTTGGGGCCATACTTCAATCCCCTTGCTCGCCTTGCTGCCCAGTACTGCACCTTACTTAATCAGCTCACTGCAATCCAGTTTTGTTGTGTTTTGACAGCTCCTAAAACAGCATGGGCCTGAGCTATGCTTGGGACTTGTAGGGGCTACCGGTTTGGGTATGGTTTAAGTGAGAGAACAACTGAGTCTTGGCCCGTGTTCCCCATACTCTGAGCACTTGGGCAGTCAACCCAGGAGAGATTCAAATGCTGTCCAGGTGATTAACAGAGCACTCCCAGGTGGCACCATGTGTTTCTATTGGTGGTGCACAGCTACACAGGACTAAGTGCAAATAACAAAATTTATGCTGCACATAGATGGAAAAAATAGACGGAACACAGGTTTTAACTGTAGTTAAGTCTTTTTTGGCTTCACACGCTCTCAATATCTTTTTCATTCACAGGACTAGAACTATTTCACAGATAACACCTGGTACAGGATAATGGGGAAACCTAGAAAATGAAGAGAAACATTTCTTCTTTGCTGTCATGACAGGATATCCCTGGGATACAGAGTTCAGAGACTGAGCCTATATATTTGTTAGTCTCGACAGTGCTACGGGACTGCTCATTGTTTCTAAAGTTACAGACTCATGCAGCTACCCCTCAGACTTTTCTGTTGAGTGATCTGAATCTAATATGAGCCGGTGGTTATTTTTATCACTCCTTCCCCCCCCCCCCCCCCCCAGCACATGACAGCTGGGAGAAGGCAATCCTGGCTTTCCATCCGTTCCCCCTGTTGAATCAAAATAGTGTTGTCTAATTTTCAGGGTTTAGGAGCTTAAAGCAGAGAGATTTGTGCAAAATAGCTGCACCTTAGGCAGCTAACTGGATTAGACGGCTAGAATAGCCATGGTTACGCCGGTATGTCTAGAATCTTCTGAGCGAGTCCTTCCTTCCAGGATGTTACCTTCTGATCTACCGTGATCCTGGAGGTCATTCCCTTGCAAGTATTTCTCCTCTGAGATCCATCAGAGATTAGGTCTGTATCTCATTGGCTCTGCAACATGAGTTTGCACTTAGTGCCCAGAAATCACTGGTTTTCTATAGCAGTGCAAGTTAGTGTCAGTGACTAACGTGCCATGCAAAAATGACAATGCAAAGTTTTCCATCAAGCAATGTGCTGTAATTGCAGCGCTTGTGAATTCAAAATAATGTCATGGTAACAATGGAGGGCTGCAGGAAACGCCAAGGAAAGAAGAGCAGGTTTCAGCAACCTCTCTTTGCACATTACGACTGCAATTTTCAAAGGGGCCTGTCATTTTGGTGGTTCAATTTTTGAGCCCTTAATTTCAGGCACTTGGCAATTTCATGCCCCTGGCCTCAAGGCACCCACAGCCAGGAATGCTTGTGACAGTTTTGGGGCTACACAAGCAGCACAAATACAATCTTTTGCAACTACATGCAATAAGCTCACTGTATCTGCCAGACACCGAGAACAAAGTGTTGTAACTGCATCATAAATAATCTTTTGCAACTTTTTTTTTTAATGTCAGTTATATCCCAATAGCCAAGAGCACTGGAATGGAATTGCTTAGAGTCTCAAACTGCTAGCTTTTCAGAGCTGCCTAACTTGCTCTTGGCAGGGTAGGCTCCGCATGGTTCAAGAGCCTCCCAACTAAATTTGGGACTTGAGCAATCAACACCTGGAGAGAAACAAGCAAGAGGTTTTTTCAAGGGTACAGGGAATGTAGCTGGTGTGCTGGGCTCCCCCAGGCCTCCAGTGTCAGGGCCTGGGGGCTTATCTTTCACAGGAGTGAGATGGGGTAGGTCAGTGTTTCTCAATCAGGGGTACTGGTGAGAAGTCTGGGGGGTGGGAGGACATGTCAACAGCTGTAATTTGGAGAAAACTGAAATGTTGTTTTAAGTTTTACAGCGCTGTATTATTTTGGTACTTTTTACATCCCAACATTTCATTGCCTGCCCTGCTATGATTAAGTTGTTTAAACCAATGTGTTGCAATGGTAGAAAAATAAATTGTGTGTCTGAAAACTGTAGGTACTGGGGGTACTTTTTTTTTTTAAAAGGGGGTACTTCATAAAAAAAAGGTTGAGAAACACTGGGTTTGGTCAGCTATGAAAACCACAAACATCCTATTCCCCCCCATACTGGCGATGTGCAAACGCCCATGGTCCTAGTGAGCGGGGAACTCTCCTTGAGCCCTTCAAACAGGAATAGCATCTGAAACCTCCTCCGGACTGCCTTATAGGCCTTCCCACTCTCTACTAAGCACTGTCCCCATTTGGGATAAGGTTTACCAGCGAGGTGAGGTGCTCTGAGGAGAGGCGTGCCCGTCTCTTTGGACAAGTGCAGGCAGAGCTGTTCCCCTCCCTTCTCCTGGGAAAACTCGCAAGGTGAGACAGCTTTCCCTCAAATCCAGGTGCACTCCTCTAGGGGACAGACTGCCTCATCCCATCACCTCATCCAACTGCAACAGCTGCAATGGCCTCATAAAGGCTGGTAACACACCCAGGGGCTGCTGTGGAGACAAAACCACACAGAGATGCAGCAAATTCATATCCACTGGCCACTGTATTTCAGCTAACGGGCATGGGCCAGTTGCTTGTTTTTCTAAATGTCCTTCGTGCTCTCTCATGCATTCGACAGTTTCCCAGATCACCTCCAGAAACAACCAGTAGGGTTGCCAGATGGTTTCAACAAAAATACCGGACACACTTGACATTATATCACAATCTACATTACATCTTAGTTAGAAAAATACCAGACATTTTCTCATTTCTATTTTCTCAATTTGTTTCCAGAACAGAAAGCTCAAATACTGCACAGTCCGATTCAAAACCGGACACCTGGCAACCCTAACAACCAGTGGTTTGGGAGTGCTGAGTGAACTGACTGTCATCCCAGGCATACGGGCAGTCCTTCGGAGAGTGGAAGGCAAAGTGGACAATTCAAAGGGGCGCCTGGCCCTTTAAAGTGCCATCAGAGTGCTCCTCCACACAGCTTTGAGTGCTGGGGGAAGGGTGGAGAGGCACAGTGCCGTGGTCTGCCCCTTCCAGAAGCTGTCCACCCACCCCACACCCATTTGTTTTAGAGAGCACAGTCAGCTCCCAGAAGCCAAAGCTGTAGCGTTCCTTGCAGCCGTGTTCACACCTGAGATTGCCCAGTGATAGGGACAGGGTGGGGGAGGCTTTTGGTGTGTGGGGGGGGGCCCTTCTTGATGCCCTACTGTCTACACTGTCCCTGCAGTTAGACCTTCACCCACAGGGCTCGCCTCGATGGCTACGTCGACACAAGCACATTTGGAACCTGTTTCTCAGAGCCCGTTCAGCTGCCCCAGGACCAGCAAAAGTTCTAGGGTGCCCAGGGCTCAGTCACTCCCGACACCGGGTTCCTGAAGGCCACGGATGCTGAAAAACAAACACGACGTTGTCTTGGGAGTTCAGGTGCCACGGCCCATTCGCTCTGGTGCCTGCGACCACCGGGCCTCGTAGCGCCATAGTGATGCT